ACTGGCTGAGCGAGGCGCGGGAGCAACGCCGAGGGTTGCAATCCCGTTGCCGGTCCCCGGTCCGGTACGGGGGCAACACTGAGGGTTGCGATCCGTTGCCGGACACGGAAAAAGACAAAAGACAAAAAAAAAAAAAAAAAAAAATCTTTCTCTCTCTCCATATCTACATGTATGTCTATATCCTATTGGTTCTATTTCTCAGAACACAGGCTGACTTTGACAGGCGAGGCCAGGAGGCCCATATTATGCCCATCATCTTTCAGCTCCAAACTGCAGACTTCCAAGAACATCTTGCTGAGCTCTTGTCAACACGGAACACCCTGGCTAACATCCAGCCTCAGTGTCTGGAACTGGCTCTTCTCTCTTCCTGGACACTCATCCTCAGGCATCTGCATGTTCACTCCCTCACCTCCTCCCAGTCTCTGCTCAGCATGCCGATCACTCCATAAAACTGCACTTCTCTGCAGCACACGCCCGGCCTTCTCTACCTCCCTTCCCTATGTGCTTTTTTCCTTATCATTTATCTGCACTTGACATATGACATATTTGCTCTTTCATTATTTTATCACTGCCTCTCTGTCCACTGCTGAAAGTCAACCCCATGAGGGTGAAGACTCTGTGTTGGTCACAGATGACTCCTCCATGCCTAGAAAAGGGCTCTGCATACAGCAGGTGCTCAATAACTACTCAGTGTGGAATGACTGGACCACTGACAGATTCAGGGATGCGGGGCAGAAAGAAGCCCACCCATGGTACTACTGTTTTTCCCTGCACTTGACTTTCCCTCTAATCCAGTTATTGGCCACTGGCCTGGCTTCCTTCCTTGTGGAGCCAGGTCCCTAATCCACCCACCCTAATTATAGCCATATAAAAATACATACCAAACGGGGGCAGCCACTGTGCTTCTGAGGAGCAGACGTCCCTTTCCTGGATCCTCCTGCCGTAGGTTGCAGAGTAGATGTTGAGAAACTTGGATTCGTGGCAGTGCAGTTTCAGCTCCTGGTCCTCACACACGGTTTTGTTTTTTAATTCATCTGAAACAGAAACAAACATTGGCGGCACCATCAGCTTCCCTCAGAGGGAATCGGGGAGCACTGTCCAAGTCCATGCCACTCACCCCCCCGCCAGGGCCGCACCCTGAGAAGGGGACAGTTGGAATGACCCTGCCTGCCCAGGGAGTCTCCAGCCCTGGAAAACAAAGCCCTCTGCAGGAAGGGGGAGGGAAGCAATCTGTCCCTAAGCACAAAGACCCCAAGAATTATACAACAGTGCAATCAGAAGGGAGACGTCAGGGTGAAGGAGGCGATGTATGCTGGGTTAGGTCCTGCGAAGGGCCTGGACATCATGGAAGTTTCTCTTTCTTCCCACTTGAGGTCACGTATTCCTTAATTGAAAAGAGCCTTTTCTCAAATGTTGGCTTGGAATCCACACAGGTAAAGACCAGAAGCTACCTGATGGAAACATTAAACCTCTGGAAAGAGCCCAGTTAAGCCTCACCACTGACTCCACAAATAGCTTCCCTATTTAAGTACTAAAAGGAGAGATGACATAAAAGCAAATTATTTCCTTTGCTAGGAAAGGGGCAAAAACAATCCCTCTTTAGAGAAGTATGAAAATTCTGTCCCAAATCTGTGACCCAGGAATAATAGAACCTGAACCTCAGGCTGATGATGGTACATTCTAGGTTAGGATGATCTGAACCAGGTCATACTTTGTTCCCAAAGAATTTAGGAAAAAGTTTGTTTGCTTGTTTAATCTGCTATAGTAAAATCTTTCTTTGCAATGTCAGAGAGCTGACATTATAAATGCACTGCTGAAGAAAACATAGTTTATGATTTTTTAAAGTGCGTACCCCCAAACCATTCAATCCATAAAAAAGTTTAATAATGACTTCATTTTTAAAAGTAATAGTAGTTAATACTCCAGACACAAAAGACCACTTATGGTATAATTCTGTTCATATGAAATATGCAGAAGAGGCAAACCTATGGAGCAGAATGCAGTTAGTAGCGGCCTGGGACTGGGGGTGGGATCGGGAGAAATTTCTGAGGCGATGGGAATGTTCTACAGCTGAACTGTGGTCATGCATGCGCAACTCAGTAACTTTACTAAAAATCATCAAATTGTACATTTAAAACAGGTGAATTTTAAGCTATGTAAATTATGCCTCAATAAAGATTTTTTTAAATAATAATAACCAATATTCATTGAGCACATCCTCTTAATTAGGCCCTGTTCTAAGAGCTTTAAATGTATCAATGAATTTAACTCTCATATTAGCCCTTTTCTCATACCCCTTGCACGTTGTGTGTTGGATTTTTAGAAATTATTTGCTGGAGTGATTCACATATTCTGGATGCTAACTTTTGTCTCTTACATGTTAGAAAATCTTCTAGCCTGTCATGTATCTTAAACTTTGCAAAATAAAAGCAAAGCAAAATATGAAGGGAATCATGGTCATTTATTTGCATATGACTTCTCCCTGCTGCCCCCAATATTTTGTAAAGAAAAATCATGGAAAAATGTTAGCCCCACTCTATCACCCCCACCCTAGGTTTTCCTACTTTGAAATGGCAACTACCTAGCAGACAAGTGCATCTTTCATCTTTTGTGTCTCGTCTGGGAGTTAACAGCAAACAAAAGTTAAATGACAAGAGCAGCTCAGGTTGTCACAGGCTGGCCTGGGAGGGTAAACTATGTCCAGAGGGAAGAAAAACCAGCCCCTCGTCTAGGCTTTAATTTCTATCATTCTCTCATGTTTTCCTTTCACTTTTCTTTCCTGGATTGGATGTGCAGACTGGGTCCTGCACATCCAATCCAGGTCCATGATAGACCTTAAGCCAAAGTTTTCCAAATTGTGATTTAAGGCCCATTTATGAGTCTTGAAATCAATTTAGTGAGTTGTGACCAGCAATTTTAAAAAATAAAGAATAGAGTAGAAAACATCAAAGGCCATCACATAAAGAAAGGATAAATACTGGTTTTGTAAATAAAAAAAATTTTTTTTCAGTTGTGTGTATGTAATATATGTAACTATGTGGGTTTTTTTAATTAAAAAATTTTTTTATTGAAATGTAACTGATTTTACATATTTGTGGGGTAGAGTTGAATATCAATACCTGTGTAAGATGTGTGATGATCACATTGGGGTAACTAATATATTCATCATTACAAAATGTTTCTTTGTGTTGAGGATATCCGATTAGCCATTTGATAACATGCAGTAAATTAATGTTAATTATAGATGCCTAGCTCGACCGTACATCATTAGTACTTACGTTTCCTAACTAGCTATTTGTGTGTGACCATGTGTTATGTTGCACCAAAATGTAAAAGGTTTTTCTTATTATGGGTTGCAATCAAAACAACTTGACAGCTCCCACCTGAAGCTCACACAGTACACATTAGGGCTATGGTGGCTGGCTGGATCTGTGTATTCTGGAAGCAACAATGCTTAAGCTCCAAACTTATAACATGAAAAAAAAATTTCCAAATATAAACTACACCTTTCTATAACTTGTAAATTCCCTTAACTTTCTATGAAAAACAAAGCAGCAGCAGTGAGACTACAGGAAAGAAAACTTCAGGATCTCAAGATTACCACTGCTTCGGGGCTGGTAAACCTTGGCACTGTCTTTTAATACATGATGATGGGAACATTCAAGATTCATGAAAGGCTTGGAGCAGAAACCAGAAGCAGATACTCACAAAATCCCTATCCTCTAGTAGTTTAATACACATGAAGGACCACCACGAGCAGGGAAAATTAAAAAGATGACCAAGTAAATGCTGAGAAGACTCCTCACCCACTAACTGGAATCTTAGTATAACAGCTTACACTTAGAGCCAAGAAAAGTTTTTTTTTTTTTTTTCTAAATAAGAAGAACACTAAATCTGACCTGGACTTCAGAGGGTTTGATTCTTTTTGGTGAGTCACATCCAGCATTGGCATGAGTTTTTCAGTGCTAAATCCCAGCAACACCGAAATTTTGTCTGACTTCAAAGGCCCAGAGTGAAGGATGGCCTTTGATGCAGAAAAGAGGGCACAGGAAGACACACCAAAAGAGCTAAAGCACCCTTCCAACTAGGAGAATACCAAAAAATGTTAAGAATGCCTTCCACTGCTTGTCCAAAAGGAGGACGGGAGAGGCAGGACAAAATCAAGCTTTAGCTCAGCAAACTGCAAACTTTTTTTTTTTTAACAGAAATAGCTTTTTTTAAATCAGAATTTTTAAAAATTAGAAGAGATTTTTTTTTAAGGCACATGGAATGCACTTATTAGCCACATCTCTTTGATTTATTAAAGCCCATTCATTAGAGGTGGCCTCGATGCCAGCAAAACCCTCCCAGAGTAACACAATACCTGCATCTGAGGTCTCCAGTGATTCTGTCCCCAGACTGTGGGCAAACCATCTCCTGGGACAGAGGGGACATGTGGCGTGTCACATTGCAACCTCGGGGTTACCTCTGTTGAGTCACTCGGCTCCTTGGGAATGTGCTAATTCACTGTCACCTAAGAGTGACATTTCTGGGTTCTAAAAAACAACAGGATTACTAAAATAATTGCTATTTTTCTTAGAGGACTAGAATTTGTTTTAGAGCCCAGTTAGAGTTCTCAAATGGTCTCAGATTAGAGAAGGTGTGGGCAGCCTTCCAAAAGTAAGTTGCCAACACTCCTCGGGTTTAGATGGGAGAGAGTGACAGGAGCCTGGGAAGGTAGAAGCAGACTCTGCTTAAAGGACACCAGCAACAAAATTCTCCCTCCTAATTATACCAATTAGAGAGCTGTGTGGGTCATTCAATTTCTCTTTAATAATATACATTTGCATATCAGCAGTGGCCTTTCAAAGGTGAATGGGGGTTAAGGTCTTCCATGATGGGAGTATTTTATTACTGACATTGCTTACAATTAACAGTGCATGGTGATATTAAAATGCAGACAGATTTTAGTCACTTTTGTTGTGTTTTTACAGACAATGCACACTGCTATTACCTGCACTCAGGGCAGACCACACCTCTCTCCCCCTGCCTCCACCCTGAGTATATCACTGCCTTTTGGTCATTCACATCTTTAGCAAGAATTACTCTAATCTGCTTATTGGAATAACAGCTACCAATTACTGAGCTCAGCTCCATGACAGGTCCTGGGCTAAGCATTTCACACGCAACACTGGAGTTTTACAGTCTTCACAACAGCCCTCTGCCGAAGGGGGATTGTCTTCCTTTCAAACTGAGTCCTGGAGCCTCAGAAAGTATCTCTACACTGCCCAAGATCATACAGCAGCTGAAGGGGATACGAATCCACATCTGCCTAAATCCAAAGCCTTGCTGCAACCAAAATTCCGTGAAGGGATGAGATTTGGAAGGGGGGTGGGGGGATGGGAAGCATGGTGCACACTAGGAAAAAGAAGGTTCTAGTGAGGTTTGCTGGTAAAATAGCTCTCCAAAAAAACAAACAAATAAAACTTGGTTTGTAGCTATGCAACTTCCCCGGTGTAAATCCTCCCACCAGGGCAGATTTCACAGGCCCCAGGCACAGCTAGGAAGAGATGTGCATCATTGGTTCTGGTGGTTGGAGCCGGCTCCACACACCAGTGGCTGCAGCAGTGAGCTTTTGAAGAGCCAAAGTGTTGTGTGGGGCTGGAACTGGAAGTTGTGGGGGAATGAGGGTGGGGGTGCGCGGGAAGAACCTCAGGAAGTGGGAGGGCTGCAGAAAGAGAGGCAGGGGGTGGTGGAGACAATCTCACCTCCCTATCCCAAACTGCAATGCCTTGGGTTGCCTGTATCTAGGTTACACAAGGGCTCAGCCCCCTAATCTGTTCTCCACGAGCAGCTGGAGGGGGCTTTACAACCTTATCATAGCACCCTCCCTGCTGAAATGCTGCCCTACTGATAGACTCCAAACTCCTTTCTGGCCATGAGAGCCCTGGATCCTACTCCGGCTCTCTGGCTCGTGCTCTCCCTTGCTGCCTTGGCTTAAGTGCTCCCACCCCCTGCACCTGCTACACCTGTGCACCTGCGCCCTCCAGCCACATGCTTCTGCATGGAGCGTGCTATCTGTGTCCTCCCCCCACCCGCCCCAGTAGTTCTCAGCTCCATCATCACTTGCTCGGAAAAGCTTCCATTGAGCCCCTGTGAGGTCAGTCCTCCTATGAGTTACCTACACGGTACACCTCCACAAAGCCCTGAGCCCACTAGGAATCCTGTGCAGATCTGTGTGATTCTGCAGTGAATGTCAGGCTCCCGCTAGACTGTGAGATCTGGTGACTTAGGATGTGCTCACCTGTGTTTCCCCAGCACCAATCACAGCACCTGGCCCCTGCTAGGTGAATATTTATTCCATAAAAACGTAGTGAGCACCTACTGGTTGTGCGTTACAATGGTGAGCAACACAGAGTTCCTGCCCTCATGATGCCTACATTCTGATGGGGGGTGTGCATAAGTAATATACAAGTCACAAATAAACAAGGTAAATCCAAACGGTAATGCTGCTGCGAGGAAAACAAAATAGGCTGGTGCGGAAAAGAGGAATGGCGGGTATAGGGGAGGGATTTTCTTTAGATTTATTTTGGACAGAGAAGGTCTCTCTGGAAACGTGCTATCTGGGCTGGAACCTAAATGATGAGAAGGAACCGGCTATATGAAGATCTCAGTAAATGCTCTTTGGACAGAGGAATGTTGGGATCTGCTGTGGAAGGGCTGCTGATATAGAAGCACCGTTCAGGAAGCCTCTGTGAGATGTAAGCTCTCTTCCTATCCAATCTGGACCAACACCTGCACACAGTAGGTGCTTAATAATCATTTGCTGAAATGAGATTAATAAACAGACTAAACCACAAACCATCGTAATGAGGTTGTGGCCTAGCACAGGCTTATCCAAGGTTCTGCCAATTTCACAAGGGCCATTTGACTTCTCTTACAGGCTGTTTTTCCTGACTTTTTATCATGAAACATTTCAAATGTGTAGAAAATATGAAAGAATATCATGATAAGCAGTCATATTCCCACCACCTAGATTCTCCTATGGTTAATGTTTTGAACAAGGGCAGCTTATTACAGGGGTATTCTTTGTCACCACGGAAGGAGGGGACTGGGGGTAAANCAGAGATCTTGAAGTGATTTTGCTGCATCTGTTGACGGAGGCAGGAGCTGATGAGAATGCTGGGGGAAGGGGGCTCACCAAGGGAGGTCAGGCTGTTCTAGAATGTTCGGGCCTGCTTGTGGGTATTCGTGATTGTGTGTACATGTGAGTATGTAGGAGCAGGTATGTGTGTGGTAGTTTGTATGTGTGAGTGTACATAATTGGGTATAAGGGTGTGATAGTGTGTGTGGGATAACGTGTACGTGTGAGTGTCTGTTGTGCATGTTGTGTATGATAGTGTGTGCACGCACATATGAATGTGTATGTGACTGTGAGTGTGAGTTTGCACACATGGTATTAGGACAGAGCCAAGGGGCATTTCCAAGGTTCTGGGCCCTAAAGAAGGTTTGGGAGAAGCTGAAAGGATCCATATGCAGCCGAGACCCTGGTACTCGTGTGGCCGATGCCTCCCCACCCCTAGCACCCAGGCTACCAGGGAATGCTGGGCTCAGGCCAGGAACCGAGAGAACAAAATGCAAAAAGTCAAAACATTTGTGTTGGGGTAGCAGGGGGGGATTTTAAAAATTATTATTCCTTATGTTTTGGTTAAATGTTCTTGGTATTATTTCTTTTCAACAAGTTGTTCAAGAACCTCTAATGCTGTAATTACCTATGTTTCTCCCAGGCAGACCCTCTGCATATGGAAGGGTGACCCGTTTGGTTAAATGTTCTTGGTATTATTTCTTTTCAACAAGTTGTTCAAGAACCTCTAATGCTGCAATTACCTATGTTTCTCCCAGGCAGACCCTCTGCATATGGAAGGGTGACCCGCTCACTGAAGAGTGATTATTTTTGGCTGGCAATGGGTTAATCACAAAACGGATGTCCATTAGAACTGGTGCTATGGGTTAAATGTGTCCTCCAAAGGTTCATATATTGGAAACTTAATCACCACCGCAACAGTGTTAAGAGAGTGGGAAATCCTATTATGGTAATTGACAGGTGGGGCTGTTAAAAGGTGATTAGATTGTGAAGACTGTACTCTTGTGAAAGGATTAATCCATTGATGATTTAATGGGTGGTCATCATGGGCATGGTTCTAACGGCTTTAAAAGGGCAGCAAGTGTGGGGATTAGTCCTCTGGCTCAGCCATCTGCCAAGTGACACCCCACACTGCTGTAGAGCCACCACCAAGAAGGCCCTCACCAGACGTGTTCCCTGAACTGTTGACTTCCCAGCCTCCAAACTGTAAGAAATAAATTTTATTTCTTTATAAATTACAGTTTCAGGTATTTGGTTATAAGTAACAGAAAATGGATTAAAACAAATGGTGAAAGTCAAGGAGAAAAGGGCAAGAATCAGAATCAGAGAGATGGCTCCGGCCATGTCCTCTCTTGTCATCCTTGGGAACACACATGGATAAAGGAGCCCCCACTGCTGGTGAGAGTGGGAGAACTAGTTCTGAAAGATTCGAAGCAGTGAGTTCAGGTGGCAATGGCACCGCTGGCCCTCAAGGAAAACCAGGCAGCCCTTGGACTGGCTCAGCCTCATAGCAATACTGCCTGTGAAGTGCAGAACTAGCTCCACATTTGTGAGGAAAAGCAACTGCAGTCTCTCGCTTCCCTGGATATTTTTAGCATTGGTACACCCGAATTTTAACTATTGGGAAGGATTTATAAAATGCAGGCATTTGTAAGAACATGCACACATGTGTGCACACACACTCTAAAAAATGGGGCAGGATGGGGCCCTGACATTCCTATTAACAGGAGTCTCAAAGGTGGACAAACACCAACAGGTGGAGAATTTTCATCAGGAGAGTGAATGAAACAGGGAACCATGCCCCCCACACACTGTCCCCCCGCAAGAAGTTACTTACTAGGTTGGCATTTAAAGGAGACCAGGAGGTATTTACTGCTTCCTGGACAAAGGTCAGGTCCAAAAACACGGCTATTGACCAGGAGGTGGCAGGCCCGCTGGTTCTGGCATTCGTCCAGCACCTTCTAGAATGAAGGGGTAGAAAAAGGATAGGCTTGAAAACCACACATACTGTCTGCCAGACCCCAAACCTGGGCTGCTCTAGGCTCTGAGAAGAGAGAGATGCCCCTCCCCGGCCGGGTTGGTTCCCTGTCTCCCTGCTCTTTCCCAAAGGAAGAAACCTGATCCAACAGCACCAGGCCTGACAGAAAACCAGCCTCCAATCAGCCGCAGCTGGTGCCACTGCTGACACCTTGGGCAAAAGCACTACATTGCAGAGGCTCTGGGGGACGTGAGCAAGATTGGCACCAAGTGTCAGGCTGTAGAGCGGGTCAATTAAGAAAGATATACATGCGCTTTTAATGTGTAGCTGCTGTATGCTAAATGGGACACTATTTTTTGCTTTTGAGGGAATTAATAAGGTATAATTAATTGTGTTTTAACTTTTGAAAGAATTTTCTAAGAGAGATGGAGGCAAATGGGATCATTGTGATAATAGATAAGAAAGGTATCCTTGATTAGAGTTAAGTTGGTTTGGATTTCAGATAGTCATTACTGAATTTACTCCTGTTTTGTCACACTTTGGGAAAGGCATCTGAACAATAAACGAATCCTGGACAGTCAAAAAAAAGTGTCATGCTGGAGGGGACTTTTTCAAGGTCCTCTTTGAGGAGGGGTCCCCTGGCTTTAAAGCTGAGAGCTGGGGCAGTCAGGAATGACAGTCATAGCTCCTCAGCCTCAGAAACAGCTCTACGCAGGCCACAGAAGAGCTGGCATTTGGGGGAGGCCTTGGAGACCCTAACCCTTTCCAGCTCATGACCCGAACATAGGCCGACAAATCAAAGTTAAAAAGCTGATTCCCACCCTCGCCAAGATCAAGAGTATGGGCCCACTTCTCCCTCATGGAGCAATTTTCTTTTCACTTTTTAAAAAAATTTTTATTTTATTGGAGCAATTTTCTTAGTGGAATATTCAGACTTACTGTTGAACATTTGGCTTAAAAGCTTTCCTTCACATCCCTCTCTCTCCTGGTTTCTTCCAGGGAACTCCATCATTTGTTAGTGAATCTGCTCTGTGGACGTTCACAGGGCACCTGTGCTGAGTCATAGAAAGGCCCAGCATTTTCGCACTGTTCTGCCAGTTCCTGGTTCCCACAGAACAAGCCCTGCCTGTGGTAAACAGAGGTCCTATACTTGGTTCCACTAACAAGGACACCAAGTACAGAAAAAAACAGTTCCCCAGAGTCTACTTATCACTTTAGGACTGAATTTAGTGTAGATTCATAAGCCTTTCTGAGTGGCCATGTTCTCCTAGCAGCTCATGGGATATTTCCATGAAGGATGTCCGCCCTACTCAGTGTCACCCGTCACTCAGGGGCCCAGCAGATGTAGATCAATCAGTAAGAACACTCAGGAAGCCCCCTGCTGTTCTCCTAGCAGCTCATGGGATATTTCCATGAAGGATGTCCGCCCTACTCAGTGTCACCCATCACTCAGGGGCCCAGCAGATGTAGATCAATCAGTAAGAACACTCAGGAAGCCCCCTGAACCCTCAGGAGGTGCAGCTTTCAGGTGCTGGGGTACGCTGGCATGGCCAAGGGTCATGGTGAGGTGACTCAGCCCTCAGAAGTCACTGGAAGGCTCCGTTACAAACTCAGAGTGGGCCCCAAGGCAGGGCCATGTCCAAACTGTGTTAGGAGCTGGACAAGCAGAGAGGGGGACTTCCCGGTGACACTTAGTCAGGGGCTGGGTCAGCTGTGTCTCCTGTGTGGATGTCCACCTGTCCTCTCCCTGCCTTAAGCAACCTCCCTCTGAGGAAGCACCTTGCCTCGGCTCCCAGAACAGTTTAAAAGACACGAAGTGAAGGATCTCTTGATCTCTGGATGAAAGAGCTGCGCATGGGGAGCTTTCTGGCAACCCCCTGAACAATCTCAGAACTGTGTTCACAAAGGCTAACTTGTCAGCCTGGTTATGGAACATTCTCTTCCCTCGGGGGACCTGGCAGAGGCAGGCACCCTGTGAGGGTGACGATGGGGCCCGTGCTTCAGATGCCAGCAACCTGGAGTTCATACTTTCACAGAGCAGGCCCTTCCACCGTTTTGGCACAGGCTGATGTTCTTTTTATGCACCTAGGAGGGCAGCAGAGGGTCTGCACCAGGGATGGGTGGGCAGGGCCACTGAGTAAGGAACGGGGGCAGGCCAACAGGGATATGGCTCCTGGCACCGAGGGCAAGAACTGCCAGGGTGGGGCACACAAGGAAAGTAACTGCTCACCTCCCGAAGAAATATGTCTCTCCTCAGGGTATGGAAACCTTGTCTAGGAGACTCATCCAAACACAGTCTTTTTGGCTGCTCGCTTGGTGTTTTCACCAATCACATGACTACCCAGATACTGCAATGCTTGGAATGGAAGCCACAGATGGTGTGAGAGATGGAAAAATCCTTACATCATCATATGATTTTTGCTTCTCCTCTTTGGGCCTTGGGGAGAGCGACATAGCATTGAAGCTTGTTCTAGTTCTCCTCAGTCTTCCTCTGAAATTTATCTTCAACCACATTTCCTATGGCTGACAAAATCAAACTGACTTCTAACTTGCCATCTGCTCCAAACACCCTGCCCTCAACATATTCATATGGAACTTGGGAGGCATTAAGAAAAATCTAGGGCCAGGGGACTTGGTAATCTTGGGTAACTAATTACAAATGTTGAGGGGCCAGGGACGGTGGCGTAGAAGTTGCTTGGATAGTTGAAAGCCATGAATAGTCTAAAACCATCATTGAAATATTAGTTAGACCTCCTCCTATACCAAGTCTTTCCCTAAATATACCAGCCAAAACAAGAGAATGTCTTAAGGTCCCCACCCCCAATTCCTGGTACCATTCAGTAGAAGGGCAAATTCAGCAGAGGTTGCCCAAGAAAGCTCCAAATGAGAGTAACATGATTATCTACAACTGGAGAAGCAAACCACAAAAAAAGACAGTTACTGATATTTCCTTTCCTTGAGTATATTCTCTAGGAAGTTGGCCATGACTCCTGATGTCTGCCTCTCAAAGATACTTGTGTTTTCCACTAAAGAGCCCACAGCCTTCCTTTTCTACTGGGGTATTTACGGGAGATGTGGGCCCAGAGACTGAAGCCCAGCATGGTTGTACTTTACTTTACTGCAGTAAGGAGTATGCCTGTGAATAAATCACGTTGCAAGTGTACTAAGGGAGCTCTCTGATAGGTAGGAATTCTATTTAGACTTGTTTTACCATAAGGAATCCTTTGGCGGGGCAAATATAGCTCACCTGCAAAACTGGTGATTTGTATAAATTGGGATTTTCATGGATCAGGTTAGCTTTGAGTAAACTGTATAATCACAAATATATGTACAGAGAGAGTGAGAGAAGAGTCAAACCCATTTTATCATCTTAACACATCTACGAAAGGCAATACCTGCAAGCTGGTGGGTGCCACACAGGTTAAGCTGTCTTCCCTCTGGGAGGCAGGCTGCCGGGAATTACACATTTGGTAATCTTGCCCATAAAATGCCGATTGGACACTTATCGTAGAATGCCGAGGGCACTGTAGATTCAAATGGTCCCCGTCACAGGCATACGCAGTGTGGTTTTGCAGGAGTTTGGTTAGGTAACCTGGAAAATATTCAGCTGGGTTACAGGAGGCCCAGGAATCCACACTCCTTCGTAGGTTTTGGGGCAGAATGACATCGGTCCCCTGGGGAGGGGCCGTTCAGTTGGGGAAGATGTGGTGGGGAGCCTCCCCAGCAGCTCGGGTGGAAAGGTCACCACACCAGGCCTGGAGGTGGGGCTGCAGGAGCAGGTGCCAGCTTTCATGTCTGGGCCAGAAACCACAGTCTGGGATGGCCCATGGTAAGGCTCAGAGGGCTCTTCCCCCTTCGGGAAGTGCTGAGGGATTTGCCAGGGGCCAAGGAGTCCTGAAGCCCCTTTATAAAGCTGGAAGAAAATTCGAAGTGGGTGTCCCCTGGGCATGCAGATGCCTGCCCTGAGGGAGACTTGCACTATCTGCTGTCCCACTAGGGAGACCATGCCTTCCCGGAGTGAGGGGATGCCGTTTTATTTCAGGAAGCCACTCCAGGGCCTGCCTCACCCTGGAGAGAGGAGAGTCGGGCGGGGCAACCTGCACTGTGTAAGCACCTGCTCTGAGGCCGTGAGGAAGGAAGGAGGGGAAAGGTGCATGGTGGGGCTTGGCTGTGGGGCAGATGTTGTCTCCCACACATTCATGGTCACCAGAAACCTCAGAACCTCGTTTGGAGATAGGGTTATGGCAGATACAGTTAGTTAAGAGGAGGTCATACTGGAGTAAGGTGGGCCCATGATGCCATACAACTGGTGTTCTTACAAGAAGACGAGAGAGACAGAGGGAAGACAGCCGCATGAAGACTGCAGTGGTGCGTTTACAAGCCAAGGAACATGCCAAGGACTGCCGGCCACCACCCGAGCTGCACGAGGCGATCCTTCCCCACAGCCCTCGACACCTTTTGGACTTCTGCCTCCAGAACTGTGAGAGAATGCATTTCTGTTGTCGTCAGCCACCCAAGTTTTGGAAATCTGTTGCAGCAGCCACAGCAAGCTAATGCAGGCCCCCCATCCCAGCCTCCTCACCCCTTCCCGGGCAGCGGGGGAGCCACGCGGGGCCTGGGGCTCTGAGAAGCCCTGAGGGTGGCCCGGCAGGCACAGGGCCTGGACCGTTTCTCAGAGAGGAGGAAGGAAGGTTCACCCACAACACAGACTCCCTCCTCACACCTCACGAGGTCAACAGTTGGCGGCTGGGAGGAGAGCCAGGGACTTTTCGCTGAGGTGCGTGGGAGGCGGTCTTGGCAGCCCTCGGCCTCTGAGAGAGCAGAGGTGGCCTATGGGAGGGCGGCTTCAGAACCCCCAGTCCCCGCACAGTTATTCCTGTTCAGGGTCAAATTCCTCTCAGAAACATAATTCTCAGCAAAAGGCACCCAATCCAGCTGCCCGGCTTCCTGGAAACTCACAATCCAAGGCACCAAGACCGTCTGCCCTGGGGCCATCACACCCCAATCCAGAGGGTTCTGAAGAGGAAGGATGGGAAGGCTCCCCCTGCACTGTCTAGACCTTAGCTCTCCCGCGGGAACTCTTTTTTTCTCACCCTGAAAACCATCAGAAGAATGGCCAGGAAATCAGCTGCCCTGAGTTAGTTCACTAAGGCAAGCAGCAGAACGCACGTCAGGCCCCAGGAGTGGGAGTCAGGGGACAGCATCTGTGTCCCACAGCACACCTACTGGGCACCGGGCCAGGCCAGGCAGGGACCCCTCAGCTGTGGGGGCCCTGGGGCCGTGACTTCCTGCACACAGGTGAACGCACGTCAGGCCCCAGGAGTGGGAGTCAGGGGACAGCATCTGTGTCCCACAGCACACCCACTGGGCACCGGGCCAGGCCAGGCAGGGACCCCTCAGCTGTGGGGGCCCTGGGGCCGTGACTTCCTGCACACAGGCGGCCTGATACAGCACTGAGTACTGAACATTCTGGCCTCCTTGATGGGATCTCAGCACCCTGTTAAGAGCCACCCCTACCCCATGGAGCCCAGGGTTGCCCTGATGCCATCCCTAGGCCAGCACCAGGGTGAAGCACCCAGGCTGGTACCCAATACTGAGCTCTCTTCCCACTCCTCATTACAACTTTCTCATCGGTCATCCCATCATTCCCAAGAGCGTGACCAGCTGACTGCAGCTTCAAATCAGTTCTCAGAGTGTGACTTTGGCTCAGTGTTCATGGTCTGTCCAAAAGACCATGTGCTACTCTAGTTTGATGAAGGAAATGATGAAGATCTGGGGTCCCAGAGCCACAAGATGGAAGGGGCCCTGGGCTTGGACTCAGGGAGAGAAGCTGCTGCTCCACTGGCGTTTACATGAGTGAGGAAGGACTTCTGCTGTGTGGGGGCCGTCATCTTCCTTCACTCTGCTTGTCATCTAGCCTGTCCCCACCAGACAGAACTTGATCTCCGTGGGACCACTTACATTGAAACATACGTGTGCAGTGCAGTGGCCTGAGCCCCCAACCCCCCCCCCCCCATACATACTCCTATTCTGGAGCAGATGCTCAATGCACCAATGCGAGATTTTTCAGGCCCCTCGCTCTTTGAGAGGGGAGGGGAGCCTAACACTGCAGATACAGAGAAGATACTCCAACAGTAAAACTTGCTCTAGACTCAGTCCATTCCCTTTTCCAAAACCTATGCCCACATCCATACAGTGGCATATTAATCAGTACTGAAAAGAAATGAGCTATCAAGCCACAAAAAGACATGTAGGAACTTCAAATGCACATTACTAAGTGAAAGAAGCCGATCAGAAAAGGCTGCGTACCGTATGATTCCCACTCAATGACATTCTGGAAGAAGCAGAGCTGTGGAGACAGCCAAAAGAGCACTGGCTGCCAGGAGTTACGGAGAAGGAAGGATGAACAGGTGGAGCACAGAGGATTTTTAGGGCAGTGGAACTACTCTGCATGATGTTGTAATATAAAAGGTATAAAATGTATAGTGTCAACATGTCAATATACATTTGCCCAAACCCATAATATCAAGAGTGAACCCTAATGTAAACTACGGATTTTGGGTGATAAAGGTGAGTCACCGTGGTTCACCCAGTGTAACAAATGTATCCCTCTGGGGAGATGTTGACAGTAGGGGAAGCGATGCATGTTGGTGGGGGAAGGGAAGGGACGTTCATAGAAATTGTACTTTCTGCTCAGTTTCGCTATGAGCCTATAACTTGTCTAAAATATAAGGTCTATTTAAAAGGGTGGGGGGGACAAAACCCCTGTGCCTCCCCAGGATAACATCACCTTTCGGAGGAGAAGAGTTAGTGACAGGGAGGGGACAGAGGAGAGCTCAGGTGAGCTGGCAAGCTCTGTCGCTGGATCTGAATGGTGGACACGTACTTTACTTTGTGAAAGTTCACCCAGCTATCCACTTAGGATTTGTGCACATTTTCATATGTAGGTAAATAAAAACGTTGTTTAAAAACCTTTTGCAGTTATCTGACCAATACTTTTAAATTAATCAAGGAAGTTGAGATGCCATGGAGCCTTGGGTGATTTATAGAGCACGGGAAGTGAGGAATACCTTCTTCTGCAGGTGACTGCATTCACATGACACACTCCAGAGTGACCGTGGGAAATGCTCATGAGGACCAGCCTTCACTCTGCATGCTTATGGGCCTCCTCAGGTGCCTTCCCATCCCTCATTCTGCATGTTCTGCAGTGTCACAAGGTCAGGGAGAAGGACAACTAAAACTACCCATTGGTTTCAGCAACATGGAGGACATCCAGGACCATGATGAGCGCATTTGGGATAGTGGGGGGTGGGGACAGAAGCATGTTTGGGAAAGGTTGAAAAGTGAGTGTAAGTTGAGGAAATCAAAGATGGCAGGTGGAATAATGATGCCCAAAGACGTCCACAGGTCTTAATCCCCAGTACTTGTGGTCACATTACCTTACACTATAAAAGGGACTTTGCAGATGTGATTAGGTTATGGATCTTAAGATGGAGAGATTATTATGGATTATCTGGGAGGGCCCCATACAATCACAGGGGTTCTTAAAAGGAGGGAGGAAAGAGGGTCAAAGTCAGAAAAAGGAGACGTGACAGTGGAACCAGCAACTGGAGTGATGCAGCCACCAGCCCAAGAATGTAGGCAGCCTTCGGAAACTGGAAAAAGCAAGGAAACATATTTTGCCCTGAAGCCTCCAGAAGAAATGCAGCCCTGCTGACACCTTCATTTTAGACTTCTGACTGCCAGAACTGTAAGAAAATAAATTTGTGCTGCTGTAAGCCACTAAGTTTGTGTAATTTGTTATAGCAGCTAACGTAATCTATGCAAATGACTGTTGCAACAACCTGATGAAGATGAGAGAAATAGGGCTATAGTTCAAGGACAGATTTTTTTTTTTCCTTTTTGTCTTTTTTACTGACCGGTAATGGGATCGCAACCCTCGGTGTCGCGCCCATACTGGGGACTGGCAACGGGATCGCAACCCTCGGTGTTGCGCCCGCACCGCGCTCAGCCAGTGAGCAGGAACCAGTCTCCACATGGGATCCGAACCCTCGGCGGCACCGCCGCGCTCCCAAGTGGCGCACTCTCCAGTGCGCCACCTGGCCGGCCCTCAAGGACAGATTTTTAAATAATTATGACTGGGTTAAAGTTGGGAGAGGCCTATGCATATACATATGCATATATATAAACACATATGCAGATGAGCCCTGGGTCATACGTAAATTACATTTCTTACTATGGGTTGTGATCCAACAAGGTTTTTGAAAGTGGATATTGCAATTCATGAGCTCCAAGCTAAATACAGGGAAGGAAATGAGCCCAGGAGAGGGGAGCGGCCCGAGGGAATGGAAGTCCTTCTGAAGCCAGGAGCAAGAGCAATCACATAAGCAAGTTGGAGAAGCAAAAGGCTGCCCCCAAAAGCTATTTGAGTGGTGATTTCAGGGCGGAACAGTTAGTTGCAGGTGATGGAGGGAAGAAGCGGGCTGGAGCAAAGTCCTGCTGCCAAGGTTGTCCTTGAACAAAAGGCAGATGACAGATGAGCCACTCCTAGTCCAAAGCCACTTCTGGCATGCTCTTCACATCCCCAGTGAG